TTCTCCCTCTGACCCTCCCCTCTCTCATGTACTCCCTCTCTCTCATTCTCTCTCTCAAATAAAAATAAATAAAATCTTTAAAAAAAAAAAAAAAATCTCAGGATAGAATGGTACCAAGAAAGTTTCCTGGATTTTCTTCATTACAAGTGGTTATATAAAACCACAAGCCTGACAGACAGGTGTTTTCATAATTAAAACTGTAAGAAAAAAGAAGTATCAGATATAATTAATCTGGATAGCCATCTACCTTGTTAGGACAGGAACCGCATGTTAGTCATCTCTGCGACATCCTCAAAACCAAGGACAATTCCTGGCACACAGCATGTGCTCAGAAATTATAACCTGAGCTAAAACAAATGACATGAGGCAAGCCTTAGTTCCCATCAATTAAACATACGCAGCCTCGAATGCCACTCAGGTACCTTTAGCGGGTGCAGGATGTATGCTGATAATCGGCTGCTGCTTTGCCAACGGCATAAGGGTGGGTAGTGTCTGAATAATGATGGTTTTCGCTGGAACGCCAGAATTTGTCTGAGTCTTGGGTGCTGCTGGAAGCAATAATGGCTTGGGCTGAATTGAAGGTTTTGAATTCATCTGAATTTTTTTCTTTGGAGTCAGTCCATTTTCTGGAGAAAATCCAAACAAACCACAAATCAATGTGAAAGCAATTCCTAGAAAACGGGTTCTATTATACACCTTTTTCTACACATTATCTTGACCTCTGAGTAACTATCCTTACCTGGAGTTTAAGCATAGCTATCTATACCTTAATGGACTAAAAAAAAAAGTCCTTAATCTGAGGTCTACCCCCCTTTTTTGAGGTATAATTGACATATTATATTGATTTCAGGGGTACAACATGATTTGATATTTGTATCACAAAAGGATTACCACAAGAAGTCTAGTTAACATCTGTTACCACACACAGTTAAAGAGCTCTTTTTCCTTGTGATGAAACTTGTAAGATCTAATCTCTTAGCAACTGTCAAATATACAACACAGTATTACTAACTATAGTCACCATGCTGTACATCACGTCCCCATGACTTATTTTAGAAGTCAAATGAGATCTTCCTTTCTGACCACACTGATGGTCAAAATGATGGTTTTCACTGGAATGACTACACTGCAGCTTTGGGAAGGAGATATATGAACTGGGAAAGGAGAATAGCTAAAAATCACTGAATAAGGCCTGAAGATTAAGAGGTAATAAATGTCACACCCAAATGTCCCTCACATTCAATATTTTTAACTGAATCTTTGAATTCTCTCCTGAAGATGATGAGGCCTCCATCTACTTTAAAGCATTTTTCACCTGTAAAGACAAGACAACCAAGGAAGACAGGTCCACTATTTTAAAAACAAAAAGCTAGCTTAATAAGCATGCACTTAATCCAGTATTTTCTTTTTAAAAATGGAACCTAAGTTCAGTCCAACTTAGAAAGAACAGAAGTTAGGAGCTGGGAGTCATACCAGTTTTGCTCCTAGGACCAATGATGGGCTTATCTTCTTTCAGTGCCTCTACTGAGGAGGGACTATGAGAGCTTTCACCATATAAGGAAAGGGGAGACATCTGGGAAGCAGACGACAAATCCAACTCTTCCTGTAGCAAAATAAAATACAAACAAATTCATGGAGAAGAATATAATTCTTGAACAGAAAATGGCTTAGAGAGGCAAGATCCATACATAAACGAACATTCTAGGACAACTTCAAGGCAAAGGTATGATATATTAGAAACTTTATGTACTAAGTACTAAGAGACTATGGATAAAGTAACATTATCCATCAATACAAGAGGAAAAATAATTCAAATTGCAGAGGACATCTATGTCATCCTCTTGTATTAAAGATGGGAATCACTGATCTGTTCCTACATTTCCTCCCACACACTTGATATTTACTTGGTTCCTAGCCATACAAACATTTGGTATAAGACTATGGTTAAAATGCCAATATCCTTTCCCCCAATCTCTTATTCAGTAGTCTTATAAGAAACTCAAAACAAATAATTCTTACTATTTTTCTTTTTCATTTATTAATGCTGCCTTTGTCCCAAATGTTTTGAAAGAAAGACAAACACTGAAAGGAACAGGGCTATTTTATTTAATGGGTGACTTGTTAATACAGAGATGTATAAAGATAACATTTTCCCAGTCTTTTAACATTCAGCGGATCTGTCTCATTTTGTTGCCATAAGGAAACTTAACATAGGATAAAAGTAGCACTTCTATTCTGAGAGGAAAATTAAAGATTTTATTTATTTGAGAGAGCATGAGCTAGGGGAGGGGCAGAGAGAGAGAGGGAGAAGCAGACTCCCCACTGAGTAGAAAGCTGGATGCGGATGCGGAGCTCAATACCAGGACCCTGAGATCATGATCTGAGCTGAAGGCAGACACTTAACCGACTGAGCCACCCAGGTGCCCCACAAAGGCAATTTTTTTTTGGATCAGATAAGAAAAAAGAATCAAAATGACCTGGAGAGAATATGGTCACTCCCAGTCATGCTGGTAAGAATGACAACTGCTTCATTCATTCATCCTCAACACCTACTCAGCACGTAGCCATAAGCTGGGCTCTGTGAACCTTAGGGAGTATTTCAGATGATATTTGGAATAAACCAGAGAGTACAAGATAATAACACAGGAAGATATGATTCTCTTCATGGCCTAAGATGCTCAAAAGGTATTTCTTAATATTCAGCAAGTACTCCTTACAAAAGTCCTAGAAAACAAGGATTAGAGGGATACTTTCTTAACATTAAAAAAAAAAAAAAAAGCTATGTATAATTGCATAGCCAATGTCATACTTAATGGTGAAATACTAAATGCAGTACCATTTAAGTCAGGATAAGAAACATAACTGCTTTTTCTATAATTCTAGCAAACATAATTATACTAGAAAATGAAATAAAAGGAATAAATATTAAAATAGAAGAGACAGAAGAAGTACCTTTGTAAGGTGACATGCTGTCTACTTAGAACACATATAAAAACCAATAAAAAAACATTTCACTATGAAAATATTGTATGAATAATCATTTAAAAAAATAATAAAAAAGATCTCACCCACAAGAGCTATAACAGTTATAAAATACCTAGGAGTTAATTTTCTAAGGAATGTACAGAGCCTATATAAAGAAATTTCAAAACTTAATTGAGTTACATAAAAGGTAACTTGACTACACAGAGAGACATAAGATATTCTTTCACAATGATTATAAAGGTGATACAACTGGGGAAACTGGCTCACTTAGAGAAAATTAAAACTAGATCCCTAACTAACACCACATAGTAAGGTAGACTCTAAAGGTATCAAGAAGGGACGCCTGGGTGGCTCAGTCAGTTAGGCGTCTGCCTTCAGCTCACGTCATGATCCCAGGTTCCTAGGATCAAGCCCCATGTTGGGCTCTCTGCTCAGAGGGGAGCCTGCTTCTCCTTCTCCCTCTCCCTCTGCCTGGCGCTCTGCCTGCTCTCGCTCTCTGTGTCAAATAAATAAATAAAATCTTCAAAAAAAAATAAAAAATTGAATTTTTTTAAAAAAGGTATTAAGAAATCTTGGGGCCCCTGGGTGGCTCAGTCAGTCAAGCCTCTGCCTTCAGCTCAGGTCATGATCCCGGCATCCTGGGATTGAGGCCCACATCGGGCTCCCTACTCAGCAGGGAGTCTGCTTCTCCCTCTGCCCTTCACCCCACTCTCTCACTCTGAGTCTCAAATAAATAAATAAAATTTTTAAAAAATAATAAATAAAGGTATTAAGAAATCTAAATGTGAAAGGTAAATCATGTAGTTAATAGAAAAAAATATTGGAGAATATCTTTGCGGCCTACAAGCAGAGAAAGACTTCTTTTAAAAAAATTCAAAAAATAAACCAAAAAGGCAAATGGAAAAAAAGATTAATCTGAGTATTCAAAATTAGAAATTTCTACTCAATAAAGACTGCAAAGCTAATAGATAATAGAAAGTAAAAAGATATATGTAATGTCTAAACCCAACGAAGTTACTATCTCAAATATAGAAGGAATTCTTACAAGTGAGTAAGAAAAAGACAACTCAATAGAAAAACTGGCAAAAGACAGGAATAAACAATTTATAAAAGAAAAAATATCCAAATCCAAAAGGCCATGTAAAGAAATGTTGATTACATGTAATGTTTGATTACATGTAAAGGCCATGTAATCAAAGAAATATGAATTAAAACAAAACAAACAATAAGAAATTTACACCATCTGGCAAAAATTAGAAAGCCAGGCAACGCTGAGCATTAGCAGTGAAGAAAAGCTACAAGGATCCTCCAGCACTTTTGCTGGGACTGCAGACTACCACAGGTGTCCAGAGAGCAAGATGGCAGCACTTGTCAAATGAAATATCTGCACTCTACGTCTCAGCAATTCCACTCCTGGGCGTACATCCCGAAGGAATCCTCACATGGACCCATAAATGGTCGTTTTGACAATGCTCACTGTGATGGAGGTAAAATAGAGTGAACATATCCGTGAAGTGTTGTGCAGTTAGATGCAATACCAAACAATATGAATTGATCTTAAAAACATTGTGTTGAGGGGCGCCTGGGTGGCTCAGTTGGTTAGGCGACCGCCTTCGGCTCAGGTCATGATCC